GTTGGTTGGTGGTTGGTGGTGTGTCTGGTTGTGCCTGCATGTGTGTGGTGGTCGAGCGCGCAGGTGATGCACCACATGTGTGTGTACAGGACACAGATGTCCTGTAGCTTGAAGTCGGCAGCTCGCGGTGTCCTGCCCAAGATCAGTGGTGGAGCCCGATGTCCAAAGTCAAACCCTCTCTGTACCCGCACGAAGTTGCTATCCAAAAAGCACCCTTGATGATGGCAACTTATATGCACAAAGACTAGAGTGAAGATGCAACAAGCTGCAGACCTTTCCAGGGAGCACTGCACCTCTCAGAGAGTGCCTTGAGGATGGCGAAGGGCAACAGAGCAACGTCATGAGAGCCGCCAGACTTCCTGGAGCCGAAAATGACCAAAGTCCAGCCCTCTTTATACTCCCGCCAAGTTGCTATCACAAACGCGCCCTTTGTCACAAGAGCTTCTGAAGTGGTGGCGCCCATAAATGTCCAAAGTCCAACCCTCTTTGTACGCGCACGAAGTTGCCATCAAAAAAGTACCGTTTTTGATAACAACATATTAGCGCAAAGACCAGAGTCAGAGTGAACAGGCCAGAAGCTGTAGACCGGCGCTGCCAGTAGCCGAAGGTCGGACCCCGGGGAACCAGCTTCCTGAGTGAATGCCCTCCATCACTCCGCCAAGACCTGGAAGTGTGTGAGAAGGTCGTCCACGGTCTCCATCGCCAAAGCGGCCGATGCCGCTGGAAACATGGGTCCAAACAAGCGCTCCCGCGAGGAGCAAACGGTCCATCCCCCAAAAGTCAGAAGTTCGAGAACTCCTGGGGGATGGGGCTTGAGCCAAATTGACGGCCAAGCCACCATCCCCCACCCAAGGCACACAAAAACTTGTCACCCAGAAAACTTCATTCCTCACTTTTCTTCCACATAAATATTATTAGAATATTGCAAAAATATTATTAGAATATTGCAAAACTCTATTCCACAAAGAGGGTAATACTAGAAATCTTGATTAGATTAATATCACCCCTACGCTCATGTATCCGCTTTTTCTGTTCAATTGGTTTATCTATTTTGAGTCCTTTTTGATTTACTTTAAAACCATTTTGATTTCTATTGATTTCCTTTTGGATTCCTTTTGATCTCTATTGATGACCATTGAAAGTGTGTCATTAATTTCGTTAACTTTCTCTATTAAAACTTAAAACTTACTAAAATATTGCAAAAATCTGTTCCACGAAGAGGGTAGCCGGCCCAGTACACTAGAAATCTTGATTAATATCAACCCCTTCTTGAATAATGTCTATGCCTTTACAATCATGATTTCCTGTTGATTTCCCTTCAATTCCTATTGATGTCCTTTTAGTTCCTATTGATGTCCTTTTAATTCCTATTGATTTCCTCTTAAATCCTAAGAGTCAACATTACTGGACTTTGTGATTTTTGCGGATTACTACGAATGCAAAACAGGCGCACACGATCGCAAGTGCAACAAGGTCTCCCAGGAGCATCGCCAGCGCAAAGCTTCCCACGACCATCCACCAAGAGACGGCTTGCAAGTGTTGCGGCACAACTGGGCATGCACTCTATCGCAGGAAGGGCGAGCAATGTCAAGTAAAGAAAGTGCAAAAGAATCGAAACTTTGTCACTTTGTCACCCTCACAGACCTTGCAGCCAAGGTACACATCGATACAATCAGAATCACACTGAAATGAACCATGTAGAAAGACATTGCAATGTCTCCTTGGTTCAAAGTGTTTGCGCTATGCTGCTATGCACATTGAACCATGAACATCTACTGAAAAGCTGCCCCGAAAGCCTACCCCGTGCATAACTTCAGTTGGGTTAGAGCCGGATTCGGAAACTAATCGGTCGGATTCTGAAACTAGGGTTCTGAAACTGGGTTCTGAAACCAGGGTTCTGAAACTTGGATTCTGAAACTGGTATTCTGAAACTGGGGTTCTGAAACTAGTATTCTGAAACTGGGGTTCTGAAACTAGGATTCTGAAACTGGGATTCTGAAATTTGTATTCTGAAACTGGAAAGTCAGATTCTGCAACTGGTATTCTGAAGCTGGAAAGTCAGATTCTGCAACTTGCCTTCTGAAACTTGCAGCTGGTGATCTCCACATCATGCGATAGCGTGTGTGCGTGTGACACCACCTTCGAAGCACATCCAAACCAACGTCATTAGCCCCCCACCCAACCCCCCCACCCCCCAACCCCCCCTTGTCCCCATCGTGTGATCTCGACATCCCTCATCATTCACAAAGTTGCGGGATCCTAGTGAGGGAGTCCACAATGTTGCGGAATCCTAGTTGCGGAACGCCAGTTGCGGAATCCCAGTTGCAGAATCCTAGTTGCGGAATCCTAGTTGCGGAATCTTGACAGTTGCGGAATCCTAGTTTCGGAATCCTAGTTGCGGAATCCTAGTTGCGGAATTCTAGTTGCGGAATCCTAGTTGCGGAATCCTAGTTTCGGAATCCCAGTTGCGGAATCCCAGTTGCGGAATCCGACCAAACAGTTGCAGAATCCTAGTTGCGGAATCCTGTGCAGTTGCGGAACTCGACTTTATCCACTTCAGTTGGGTAAACTTCGAATCTAAATTCTGTGGTTGGTTGTCGAGCATCCCATCCATTCCATGGGCTTGCTCCGGCAAACACGGGCCAGGATGCCACTCTCTCCACAATGGGTCAATGCCCTTAATCAAATCAAATCGCACAAACACACATCAAGGAACCATTACTAGCAAGAGCCAACACCAATTATGTTTGTGTGTGTTTCCCTTCCAGTTCCAAGATAGCAAGAAGGTGAGCGAGCAGGTGAGCGCTCAGGGAGCATGGCAGGTTTGACAAGCGCAATAATTTTGTGAAGCCACAAAATGAGGTCGATGAACAAGAGTGGCACCAGTGCCTCAATTCTACTGACCATCAAACTGCTCACAGAGGCATTGGCTTTGCCCACCTCCAAAAGAGATCGAATGACAGGGTCACGCAGTCGTGCAAAAGTGGCAGATTTGACCGGAACCTGCAATAGGCCATCCAAGAATGGAAGCTTTGAGCTGTACTCACATTTAACATCGACATCAACTAACTCTATGTGTCTCTTGCTGAAAGCATTCCTTAACTCTCAAACCGGAGGCACTCACGAACTCAAAATGCCTCGTTCAGTACCACACCGGCAGTCAGGATGAGGACATAGCCTTTGTTATACAAATGTGTCTGTGTCGTTCTATGCTTCACTGGCTCTGATGCCAGAACGCATCTAAATGTGATGCAGCTTCACGCGGGTTCGACACCAGCGTGAGGGAACAGTTTAACTTCGGGCCAATCAAATTAATTGTCAAGGAATGTCAAGGCTCTATTACATGTACGGCATGATGCTTTACATGATGTGATGGACGACTCCTGGAGGTCTCCACAGAGGATTCCAGAGGATTTTTGGATCGTCTTGAACCTTTCTTGCAAGACGCATGCACCCAGCACGGAGGCACGCCAACCCCATCTTCTGGCTTCACCGCCAGCATCGGCAGTGCGAAAGCGGCAGGTCACATGGCCTGCTGGTCGAGAAAGGCTGAGAAAGGAGCTTCAGGGCTTCTGTGTTTTTTTGCTAGGCTTAAAAATGTAGTAACAAGGATGCTACTAGGGGATCCTGGCCTTACTACTAGGAGCAAGGACGCTACTAGGAGCAAAGGGCATCGCTACTAGGAGCAAGGATGCTACTAGGTGGAGGTGAGGCCATTGCTATTAGGTTCGAGGCCATCGCTACTAGTAACAAGAAGCTACTAGGGAGAAGAAAGTAAGAATGTCAGATACTAAGCTTATATAAGTAGCTTCTTTGGCACCAGGGACCAGGATGCAGAAGGGTTCAGGCTTCTTCAGGCTTCTTGCCATAATGATTTGGTTCCTAGGTTCTTTGGAAAACTATACATCCCCCGTCACCTTCCTAGCAACAGCTGCTAGCAAAATCTAATGCTCTTGCATGTCTGATCAGGTCCCTTTTCGGATCACCTAGTGTATGTTAAAATCAACTCGGTAGTTTGAAACGTTAATTTGTCCAAAACTGTTGCACTGCTTGTCAGGCAATTCGGATTCTAACGAAGAGCTCCAAGAAAGCGGTCAAGGTTGATCCGTTGATGAGTATTAGTCTTTGAAACAAAGCACTTAACAAGGTCCCTGGGCCTCCACCATGAATTCGCTCCACTGCTGCAAGGCATCCCATGGCAAAGACAGGGATACGGCTCAAAGGCCAAGCCCGAGCACTCCAGTAACCCACATTGAAGTTCTTCAGTGCGAAAACTCCGAATGAGACCTTTGGACGTGCAAATGGTGAGACTAAACAAATCCCACAGTCGCATGCAAGTTTGGAGCAGGTTGGGGATGGACCTGGCAAATGCTTTATGCCAGGTCTAAACCTCATAAAGATCTAATGAAAGCCATGTGTGCAATGGCAACTGGATACAGGCATGCAGACCTGCAAGCCCACCAACGCATCCAGGTGGCTATGGATAGGAAAGTCACGGCTTGCAGCCAGAAGAGCATATGGATGACAAGTCGGCGTCTCTTCACCGCTTTCAGCCAAGGGAGCATGTAAGGAAATACAATGTAGAACACTGCCATCGTCTGCACCTTTGCTTCAACCAAGTCATGGCCTCACCCAAAATGAAACATGTTAAAGTGCAGCTACGGCACCGTCCAGGTAACAAAATTGCTTGGCAAAGCTACCTGATGTTGACAGCACACGGCATCTGTAGGCAGCCAGGCCTCAGCAACTTGACCATTCAAAGGACACTGCAGAGCTAATGGCATGTTTCAAAGACTGAGTGTAAGGCATCCAAAGGATAGATCCACATGTTCAATCCCAAGAAAGTCAAGGCCAGGTTCCAGTCAAAGTTTGTCGATGAAAGCATCCCCGGACCCTGCAGAGATGAGTCTTTATGGGACAGGCATGTGATTTTGCAGGAAGAATACATGTTGCAAATGCTGACACAATGACATAAAGCCTGCCAACTGAAGTGGAGGACCAGAAAGTACACGATGTTTGTCAGCATGTACATTGGGAAAAGCCTGGCGTTCGTTGGGCTGTCCCTTTTCGACGAAAGAGATTGGAGCGTCCCATGCACTCCTTCGATGACCTTTATTCCTTTAGCCCGCCCTTACTTAGTTAAGTAGGCGCCTACTTAATTGAGTAAGCAGGCCACCACCACCCACCGACGCAGAAAAGCTCATGCTCGCTCAAATGCGGTTCGACAAAATCGGCCTAGCAAATCGGTTTCGCCAAAAGCGCCGCTTGTTAAAGTTGGCGAGGTTGCTGCTGCTATCAGCCTGGGCAGGCTGTTGGGGCGGCATACCCCATTTAGTATGAATATCGACAAGCAAAAGTAGTAGGATCCATTTGCTTACAATCACGGTGTTGTAACAATCGAAAAGCATCGGTTGGGTTGTTCGGGTGTCAACTCAGATCCCCCAGTTGCCAGCCGAGAATCTGCTACTAAATCTTTCGCATAACCAAGAGTCATGACAAAGCCAGACAGGAGGTAAAAGAAACCTCGTTTGCAAATGAGAGCGCGCTACAGAATTATCGGTTGTCTATATAACTAGTTCTTTTCCTATCTTTTCCTGCTTTACTTCAAACCGATGGCATTGTTGGAGACTTCCTTCCGAATTGTCGCCACTGTTTGTTGGCCAAGCAAGCAGTTTAAAGTAAATAAGAATATTCAAGCAATGAGCAGCATGCAAACCCAAATCATAGGCCTGCATCAACGTAAGTCACCATGAGTCACTTTTCTCAGTGCATTCTGTAATGAGAAGCATGCAAACATTTACCGGCTCCAGGTGGAAGGCACAGAAGGCGCGGCACCGTGAGACCGAGAGGCTCATGGAAGCACCACCAATCAAGTCCACATGGACCGGCGAGATCGCGCAATAATGACCCAGAGCAACATGCCTTGGACAACTTGGGGCACCGCTTGATACAGGTCCGCTCAAAGCCGCGTCTGTTTGGGGAACTCCAAATTAACGGTGTCTATCATTTTACCAGTACACTGCTGTCAACCTCCAACTCAAAAATGTTAAGCCATCTATCCGTCCAAGAGCAACTTTGGACTGTCTTGATTCCAAGGTGCAAGGCCGCAAATCCTCTAAGTCCGGTCAGCGCATGGGTGTCAACCCGCCCCTCCTTCTGTCGAAGTCCCTGTTGCGCCTCCGAGACCCCCTCAGAAGCGGCCTTGGATGCGACGAAGCTTCGAAGCTTGGAGCAGCCCGACCCCAACCCCCTCGAGTCCTCAAGGCGCCATCAACCACCGAATCACCCGTCATGCTGCATGCTGCTCCCGGTCGAGTCACGGGCGATGCCGGGTCTGAGCGTCTCGGAATGCAGAAAAACACATTGGCCACAGCAGTCAAGGTGAGAATGGCTACCTGAGAATCAACTTGGGAATACTTGGGATCTGTTCAGTCTAACTCAATTGAGGTTGAAAGGGACAAGCATGACTCGCTCGTTCTTTGCTGATGCAGCTATGTATCGAAGCAAAGGCTTAGTCCCACGTCATCTTGCCAGGACAAAGGCTCTGGAGGTGATGGTGGAGCTGCATTTTGGATAATTGGCAACGACTGGAAAATGTTCTCATACACCCTGCCAAGGAAATTGAGAAATCAGCCGGCCTCTTGCCACTTTGCGAGTTGCACTTCTTGATTCATTGACTCAACAGTAGCCTGGAAGATGGAGGTGGCGAATCCATTGCAGCAGATCTGCTCTGCTGAAACTGGCTTCTTCACAGAGCGAGGAACGGCTTTGATACAGATGTGAAATTCGAATTTATGTTCATCTTCTCGCATTAAGAACTATTGAGGGTTGAGTCTTGTTGTAGCTGTCACTCTGCCAAAGACACGACATAACAGAACTTGGGCCGAAATCAAAACCCGACCGTGAGTATGGATTCAGGCTTTGAGGCTTGGCAATGTGGCGGATGGCATTTGACCATCACTCAACATTATCTTGCAGCATAGAATGGTACTGTCAAGGGTGTGGCATTTATACGTACTGGCTCTAGTTGGAGATGGAAAATACAGAAGGAAATCACCATCCCATAGCAAAGGTCTCTCGCCGTAGCACACTTTTTGTAACTGATGTGTTTGCAAATCTAGCTTTGCTCCTTTTGAAGTACTTGATCCAAAAAATGAACTGTCAGTCCCGGGTTTGGACTCAAAGATGCACCGCTAGTTTCAGTCTCGTGCGTACTTGATTTCTTGGTCTATAAACGCTTAGCCCCACCTGCGCCGGTCAAGCCATCAGAACTGCTTCACATGGCTGGCTTTGAGGCAACACCGCATGCCGTAATTCTGTGGAAAGAATCTAGACAGTAGATGCATACCATTCTTAGTCTTGGCAAACTCCGACTTGCAACATCTTCAATTCTAGGAAATGGACGCATCAAAGCAGGCTGATCCTCAGTCCACCGGTAAGTCCAACCGCCTCGTCGCTTGGTCCAAACTTGCAGAGATTCAGGCAGGCTGGAAGCGTTGTAAAAGGTGTCCGTTCAATTCCTCTCCCTACATGCGAATCAGGGTCACGGGATGCAGAAGGCTTAAGGGCTTGCATTTGATGCTGCTGAAAGCTTGATGCAGTATCGCATGTGCTCGAGCTTCAGCTTAGCTCGAATGAAGAAAAAGAGCAAGCGGGTGTCCTGCAGGCATTGCATCAAGGACCATCTCGGCCACCTGTTCCAGAGAGATGGCGTCAAAACAGATTGTAATTCTCTGTAATCATTGCAATCAAAATGGTACTCCGTGCAATGGTACTTATACTTGTACACAGATCATCTTATTACAACAAGTTGTCTCTTATTGCACTCAAGCGCCTCCTTCAGCAGGCCAAGGTTCCATCCCACAAAGGGAACGGCCATCTGGAAGGAAGAAGTCTTCATCTCTATGCCAGACTACTATGATGATGTATGTCAATGTGAATTGCTGTATTCAGAACTTGCTTTTGTGGGGAACATTGAGGAACTGCCACAGCTGTAACATATGGAGCCTCCCACGTACATGACATATGTGCGAGTGTCCCGCGCAAACACACACACACACCCAAAAAAACATAATAACGTTGGCTCTCTATTCGCAGTCGGTGCCTTTTGCAGGCCATACACCACAAAGGTGAGAGTCTTCCTGCAAAGAAGAAACAGCACTTCACCCCGCCGACGGCTGAGGATAAGGAAACTGGTGATGCGCAGAAAGCCAATACAGCATTCCGTCTTGAGAATCTCAGGCCTACACAAAACAGGACGATGCTACTTGTCTTTGCACACATCTCTGACTAGATCTTGCATGCCGCCTTTGCACCTTTGTTTCAAGATTGAAAGGCTTTATGAGACCTGGGGCCCTGTGTTTCATGCAAACCGACTGTGATATGAACTATGATTCATACATTAATTCACAAAATGTTAACGTAAAATCAAGAACCCTGAAAAATCAGCGGCGCTTCGCCGACCTCTCAGCCTTCTTGGCCAAACAGCGCAGAAGTAGCTCGAGGGTGTCCGATTCTGAGTACCTCACTCACTGACTCAGTTCAACTCCGGGGCAGGAACGGGTGACAAATCATGCTTCAACTGCATCTAATTATATAAATCTCAATCATTTTGGTTCGAAAGACTTGGTGCTAACTAGCAAGGCAGCAAAGCCAAGGCACATTGGCCTTTGGATCACCGCATTTTGCGGGCACATCCACTTTTGTATAGGTACGTCTGCCGCAGAACTGACAATTTGCGAAGAAATGCTGACAATTTAAGACAACTTTCAATTTTGGCTCAGAGGGCGTGCTCAGTTCCGAAGCTCAATTTCTGATTTCTCTAATGGCCAGACTTTGTGGTCTCTCTATGTGCAAAATGCATAGCACAAATTATTTCTTCGTGCTCAACAGGTCCTGGAGCAAAAACTTGATGGGCCAAATGTGGGAGGAGATGGTTCATAGAAAAATTGAAGACGGAGCGAAATCGACAGGAACTAGAGCGAAATCAACGCCCCACTTGGGAAAGGTTTACCTTTTTTAAAGGCCTGCACCCCCCCCTCCCTACTTAATTGAGTAAGGGAGAGGTAGCTAGTAGGTACAGGACGCTTCCTTGAAGAAGCGCTCCATTTGGATCCTAGATTTTTAGGGAAACTCAAGCTGGGCGCTTTCAACATCAGTTCTGTTTAGCCTGCTTCCTGCAAAATGATGCGAATGAGAATGGTGAACTGTGGGCAACATGTGACAACAATGCAAAAACCTCTTGAAAACAAAGGCTTGTGGCGAATTGATGGCTTGAGTTGCCAATATTTGGCACCACTCCTGTGGCTCCACTTTGACCAAGCATACCTCAAGCCACATCCACGCACAAGCTGCTGACATTATGCCATCATGTGCTACTGGACCAAACGTGTCAAGGGATGTTTTCACCTGAAGAAGCGAAGAATGACTGGTGACTTGCGGGAAACTATCCCGAGCTCTTGGCTGTAATCCCAAACACTTCATCGGTGGTTCATTGTAGCAGCTGGCCAAGTTATCATCCGTTAAGATATTCATCATCATATGGACCATAGGGACCATAGGGTCATCTTACAGGGTCTCTTCCAGAGAAAAAAAAACAGTTGTGGCTTCAGCAGTTCCCAACCTTGAGCCACAGGCAGACTTAGCTGCGGACAAGTTGCTTTTAGATGTTGCCCTGGCTTCCGAGTTTTGGGCCATATGGCATCATACTCAGCCACGTCACTACCTCCTTTCCGCAGAATCACCTCACCGGATCTTTGCCAGTCAGTTGTATTGGTTGGATTCAAAAGCGGTCGCGTCAGAAACGGGCAACATGACTTTCGTACACCCCGCACAAGGCCGCACAAGGCCTCTCAAAGACTTGAGCGGGACGAACAAGGCTTGCCTTGAAGGGAACGTCCGCCTTGTCTCGATTGTTGTGATTGTTCACGTTGATCTCAAACTCTCCTATCAAGTGGACCGAACACCAAACGAAGGCACATCAAAAATTGAACACAATAGAGACAGGAGCTTCTGTGAGCTTCTGCTTGTGTGGGGCACATGGAAGCACATCTTACGTCGTTCTCTTTCATTTAGTGGTTGGTTCATCTGGTGGACGGAGTACATGTTCAAACTTGCAGGTCTGTGTCGTCTGTATTTGGTTTCGCGTTTGGCCTGTTTCGTGGAAGGAGAGGTTCGCTGCAGGACTCGTTTCGACATGCTCAGCATTTGAAATGAAGTCCAACTTGCATCTGCCAACCTAGCACACAGTAGTGCAATACTACTAGTAGCAAGTGCATCGTGCATCACTACTAGTAACAAGTGCATTACTACTGGTAGCTAGAGGCTACTAGTAACAAGGACAACACTGATGTGCATACTGAATCTGAAAGAACACGCCTGCCTCGCGCTCGTCACGGTTAAGGCTTTTGCCCTTGACCGACGTGGACAAGTCAAGATCTGACCTTGAACAAGGAGGGAATCATGAAACTCAGAGAAGGTTGTTGTTGTATTTATGTTTCCTCACCTCCCTCGCACTGGCAACTAGACATGATATGACCTGATAATGTCATTACCATCCACCCTACCAAGCATGCTGCAAAGGCAAGAGGGAAGCTCACAATAGTTGACGTTGGCAATTCAACCGCAATTGAATTTGGCTAAGTTGCTCATGCGGCCCTCCATGCAAACCCCAAACGAGCGTCGCGGTACATGGAGACGTGACCCCCCTTCTCTTGGAGGATGTTCTCAGTGTCCAAGCAGGCCATGAGCCAAAGCACAAGGGCAGCACAAGCAGAGACTCTGTGAAACGAAAATCAGGGGGGAAGTGTTAGTGTAAGATTCTGTTCACACTCAAATGGATGACCGTTCTCTGAATCTTGCCACAGCTGTCTTGCCGACAAGCCACCTGAATATGTTTCAGGGTCCATGCGGTAGCCTGTCAGACCGGATGATGCTACCAGGCCCTTCAAAACTGAAGACTTCTCCACCTTTGGCGGTTTAGGGGATCTGTTCTTCTCCCACAGCTAGCGTATCAGGCGGGCAATACATTGTCAGGTGTGTGTGTGTGTGTGTTCTTTTGGTCTTGATCAGAAGCAAGTTGCGCAGCGTGCATGGACTGCCGCTCGCAATTCATCCTTCAAACAAAAGTCTACAAGCATATAGGAAAAGGTGTCCCTCATCTGCAAATCTTTGCCTGCCTTTTTCTGTTCTTTGACGTGTTGCTGCCTAGGTTGGTAGAAAATGCGTTAATCTCTCGACAGGGGGCTGTAGTACAGTACAAGAAGACATGTTGGGATTGAAAAACTCATGGCAAAACACCAATAGGCCAACATCCACTACTGATGCATTCCACAGCATGCTGGGTATACTGGATCCTGGGGGTTGAACCCGAGCAGGTATTCTTTCTCCAACATCTCCAACCTTAGGCTTTCATGAGCGGAGACACCACAATCGCATAGGAGTATGCTACAAGCAAAAGAATTGAATAAGCTGTTGCAATGCGCCAAGCTGGCATCTCGTCCAAGCGCTCGCTGAGCTATGTACCCTTCTCCCCCTGGCAACAGACGAGTGCCAAAATGTATCAACAACAATTGAGCCTCGCAAACATGTCACTTTCGTGTTGATCTTTGACCAATGTCCGCAAGTTACTTTACACTTGTCTACCTGTCCTGACGAGGTGGCTTGCTATTGATGTGATTATTTGGGGTTGCTATTGATGTAATCATTGAGCTGTAGCATCGTTCTTTGTCAATGTGGCTTGTCGTTGATGTTGCCATTCTGGTCGTTTTAAGTCTTGGACTACAGCCGAGGTACTCTGCACTGGGTGGGGCAGCAGGAGAGGACAACAAAGTCGTAAAATCAATTGTAACTACCCGTGAGAATCCTGCAAGATAAGTCGATAAGTGTGTTCGATGTTTCAATCAAGTCAGGCAGGCTCCAGAAGTCCTGCACCAGGCCAACCACCTCAGCTTCCAGTGACAATGGCGCTGGCGGAAGGAACTTGCAATGCAGCAGCAAGGTGAATACTAATGATAAAATTGGCCCAAAATGGAAGCAAAGGGACTCAAGTTGCAATGCCTGATTGAACTCATATAAGGCTGCCAAAGAATCTTGCAAAGGCACTCCATATTTTTGGACAGTTGTTCCAAGCTCATTCGGCTCTAGTGGAAGCATACACTCAGTGCGAGCTTGGATGTGATTTGCTGACAAGAAGCCAAGCAAGTACTGCCCAAAACACGAACTACAAGGAAAACGGGCAAGGCCCTAGGCTAATCACGTACATATATAACTTGCCTGTTGTGTGAGTGGGCGTCTTTACGTGTGCGCACCTACAGTAAGGTCTTCTTTGAGTGTTGAATTGAAAACTTATGCGCATTGTGACCAATCTTTGCAATTACCAGAGACGAGACGCGTTGCTTCGCTGCAGGATTTGTTGGCTCTCAGTTAGCGTAATAGCACAATGTGTTGTTTTGGATCTAGAAGCTGGTTTGTGCAGCGATTGTATGTTTGTGTGCTGAGGAGAGGAGACCTTATGGCTTTCCAAACGGCGGTGTGTGTTGGGTTGAAAGCGAATCGGGTTGGATGCGAAAACTGTGGTGAAACTATACAGTGTGTGAGGCACCGATCAAGTGAGAGCCATGCTTCCAAGCAAAACGGACTCGTCCAGGCTATAAAAACGGCGGTTTAAGCGGTATCTCTGATGCAGGTTTGTCGGCACCTACATGGCCTTTTGACTGTGCTCGCACTATGATCGTGGCAAGTTAAACAGCATCAAGGTTCTAAGTGTACGCGAATGGACAACTGGATCGATTCCCCAACAAGTCTATCAACTCACTCCTTCGTGCAGTGTGATTGCTGTGGTAACCGATTGTGTCTGGAATGCTTAATATACAGTACAACTCCGTGTTCGCAGACTTTGCTCCCAGTTGAGTCTGGGCACGTCATCCTCAAGGGACTCTTCGCCACCCTGAACAGCACAATCCAAGTCAACAAATCAAATGCTTGGACAAGACCTATAAAAGTATCCTGGCTCTGTTGCAGCTGCTCCAGCCAGTGGTTGTACTCTGACGCCATGTCTAACATGTTAAGGCTGAAGAAAAATAAGTGCACATGACATATGTTTGCAACTATATATATATATATATGAGGGACGGTCAAAACTCCTTATTCTTCTTCAGCTAAAAAATGGACGTCATCGGTTTTGAGGTGGACCTTATCGTTTTACAATGTTTTACAGCGTTTTGAGTTCGTCGCATACTTATGACCATATACAACGCTGGAGTTATCGGTTTTGAGGTGGACCTTATCGTTTTGCAGGGTTTTGTGCACAAACCTACCCCTCTTTACTAAAGTGGTCTTCGCATGTTTTTACCGTGGCTCATATATATACAGGAGGCAGTCGATCTCCAATGTTTCCCCCACTGCTAACTTCCGAGCCTCACCCTCATACTCTCTGAAGTTGTACATCGAAGGCATCGTCTTGGCGCAAGCATGTTAAATAGATCCGCCCGTGTGTCTTTTCGGAGAAAACAATTCTTGATGGA